TTTTTTTTTAAAAAAAAAATTCCTCTTCAAAACCTTGTTGCGTCTTATACTCCGGTGTGTCTTATACTCCGAAAAATATGGTAGATAAAGTTGGTAGATAAAGCTGAATAAAAACTTCAAATTATTCATTGCACATAAACAAGTGACAGGTAATATTTATATTCAAAATAGTTTCCTTTGCGATAGTGTAAATATTTTTTAAATACATATTGGGATTAGTTACCACGAGTAAGACACTATTACTCCCCTTAGCATACCTTAATGACTTCATCAGAAATCTTTTCTTGCTTGTACTGGGTTCCATACCACCGTTCTTTTTTATCAGTTTTTCCTTCAAATGTCTTAGAGACAATTGCAACCCTAAAAATAAAAATATACGTAATTATATAATGTATGTAACCAACCTGATCAAATTTTTCTCTCTTCAAAACAAATAATTATGCTTTTTCTTATACTCCAGTGCGTCTTATACTCCAGTGCGTCTTATACTCCGAAAAATGTGGTATACTGGATTCTTGATTCACAAATAAGTAATTACAAATTGGTACAATATCCAGGATATACCCAAATTACTTCTTGGGGATAATAACCCCAAGTCTAAGAACCACTGTTCTAGAGCATTTAGTAGAGACTTACATTTTTTCAACTCAAAGGAATAACAATTCATAATTTCATATCTGAATTGAATATAAATTTAACGGAATAAAAACAGAATAAAATCCCTAAGCCATAACTATAGCCTGAAATTCTATTTTCTTAGGTGAAAATCTGCTAAGACAAACAATATTAGAATTTGTGTAAAGGAGAGAAGACCAAGACAAAAAGAACTGCACCAAGGAGGGGATTGGACTAGGTGGTCTTTGAGAATATTTTACAAAAGAACCCTTCCCACCCCTAAAAATATCTGAGCATTGGCTTAAATTAAAGGATGCTTTCTGAATTTTATCCTCAGCTGATAAAAGCTTATGCAACATTCAACATTCAATTCAATTTTCAGCCATCTATATAAATAGAAATGGCTGTGTGTGTGTGTATGTTCCAGCATAACTCTGGAATGCCTCGAGCAATTTCAATCAAACTTGGTACACAGATGACTTACTCTCTGGAAAAAAATACTGTGGGGGTAAGACACCCTTAACAACCCTCAGGGTGTGTGTTCCGTTAAGATACAGCCTGTTGTGCCTTCAAATGGCTTCTACCAAACTGCCATAAAACGGCTTTTATTGTGCAGCGCACTGGAGTTCCCATGGTAATGACTTCACAGTACTCCACAAGGGGGCTCCCTCTGGTAAGGTGGAAAGTCCAACATTAGAAATTACCTTTGATCCGAAATCAGGACTGTTCCTGCCTAATACAGGATTAGGATAAATAACTATCCGGGCAATGCTAGGTAATCAGCTACTAGTTTTAAATAAAATACTTTGGGGGCGGGGGAGAGCTTCAAGCCTTCCATGGTAGACTCTCACACTCTGCCATATTCCAAACTGTTTTGCTAAGTAAATATCTCACCAAGTAAAATGAGAAATTAATAAGGAGATTCTATTTTTCTTTCCAGTTAAAATAAAGAGGCAATTATCAATACTATCTTTGCCGCATATTACATGCAAGTGAAATTATTTACTATCAACATTGTTCTGCATTTCAGAGACAAATAGTTCTTAATTGGAAAAATCTAAGGCACTTTGATGGACAAAATATTTATCAATTTGAACATTACATACAAATTAAATCTTATAATCATGGCCAGAACTAAACAAATAATAGAACAATTGTTCAATTTAGACTTGTTCCTCCTTGCCAAATAAAATATCAACCTGCATCTTCTGTGCCATAAATGAAACAGTTCACATAGCTTCTTTGCACTTTATGTATGAATACAAAACACAACAGAGTAACATGAGCAGCTTTACTTTCCTTTGAAATTAGTTTCCATGGTAACAGCTCCATTACTGACATTGATAGAATGCTGCTTATCTAAAATGTTTCTAGTGTATTCCTCCACCCCCCAAAAAATCAAGATTTTAGCAATAAAAGAGAGTAAATTATTTACACAACAACTGGAAGTCTCTTCTACAAAGACCTTCTGTGAACGTTAAGATAACACAACGATCCTCATTCCCTATATAAATTTATCCATTGCCAATAGAAAAAATATTTGCCCGTGAACAATTGCTGGGATTTTGGGGGGGGAGGGGGGGAGTTGGCCCTCATTCAGTTAATTATAGAAACTGTAGGACAAATTTAGAGCAACAGATTCTATTAGTAATGCTAATGCAACTGAAGCTAAACAAACATCAAATCTGTTGATAGGAATGTTTTTCTTCTTGTATTACAAACGGGGAAGAACCTCCAGAGCCCCAATGCCATCGGAGCAAGAACAGACCATTTTGTTCTGTTTTCTGTTCCCTCACAATTTGTTGGAGGCAGCAAAATGAGCAGACTGCACAAATACCGGTAGAAGCAAAGATCAACAGGCACTCTCTCTCCACACTTATTTTTCCTTTCCAATACCTGTTTCTCCAGTGCGCTGCTTGGGGAGTCCAAGCGTGGGTTAACACAGCCTATCTGCCCTTGGACTGAGTGACATTTTTCTTGACCACGCCTCCCTTTGCCTCCCTATGTTCAGTGTAGAGATAGAGACATTGTGGACTTGTCCCCCAAACTCTGGACTTCCTACAGGAGGGTCTGGACAAGGGCCTGGCGCCTAACACACTCAGGCGTCAGGTGGCAGCCTTGTCCACTATTCTGGGCAGAGGCTCCTCCCGGCCACTGAGCCAACATCCGCAAATTAAAAGCTTCCTGAAGGGCGCGGGGAGTATCAGCCCACCGACGGTTCACCGATACCCGTTCCTGGAACCTCCTCTTTGTCTTACGGGCCTTGACGGCTCCCCCGTTCGAGCCACTTTGTAAGACAAGCCTGCGCCACCTTATCCATCAAGACGGCCTTTCTGGTGGCCATCACGTCAGCCCACAGACTGTTGGACCTGGCTGCCTGGGAAGACCTGTGTGTGGTTCACACTGACAAGAGTTATTTTGAGGCTTGACCCCTTGTTTATTCCTAAGGTAGAGCTCAGGAAATAATTCTGCCTAACCTTTGTCCTAGACTTTCTCACCCTAGGGAATGTGACTGGCATAAACTGGACGTGAGGCGTGCTGTACACATTTACATAAAGAGAACCAAGGAGTTCCGACGATCCGAAGCCTTCTTCATATCATTCCTTCCTGGGTCTCTGGGACGCAAGGTTTCATCTCACACCGTAAGCCGTTGGTTGAGCACCTGTATCAAACTGGCATACGAACATCAGGGCAAAACCTCTCTGGACCAGGTGACTGCACATTCTACCAGGAGCGCGGCTACTTCTGCGGCATGGGCGACCCAGGCATCTATTCTAGACATTTGCAGGGCGGCCAGGTGGGCCTCTCCCACTGCCATTATAAAAAACTACATGACAGACACCTTTGCCTCAGCCGAAGCCTCCTTCGGATGAAGAATTCTGCAGAGGGTCGCTGAGACTCAGGAGGCTCCGATCTCTACCCGCCCTGGGACACAATAGCTTGGGCATGTCCCACGCTTGGACTCTCCAAGCAGCGCACTGGAGAAAGACCGTTGGCTTACTCTGGGTGCTGCGAGGAGAGTCCAAACCCAACCAAGGGTTTTTTTCGGGCAAGATACATGACTTTGTTTATTGTCTGTGAACTTTTACTATACGGTTGTCTCTTCATTTTTAAACTGAACATAGGGAGGCAAAGGGAGGCGTGGTCAAGAAAAATGTCACTCAGTCCAAGGGCAGATAGGCTGTGTTAACCCACACTTGGACTCTCCTCACAGCGCCCAGAGAACGACCGTTTAGGTAAGCCAACGGTCTTTCTTCCAAGAAGTGGGCTATAGGAAGGAACAAATACCTCTTATCAGGGACGAAACAGTACAGGTTTTTTGTACTGGTAGATTTTAAACAGCAAAATTGGTGTCTTAAAAGTTGTTGAGGTGCCGATTTGACCTTTTTAGCGCTTTCTACACACACACACGCACACACAAAAACATACACACACACACACCAGAAACATTTTGGAATGTGTCCCTTGACATGCTACACGGAACTTGGAGGAGACTCAAGCTGGAGGAAGTATACTTCAGCTGTACAGCAATTGAGTGAAAAGGGAACTTGTGGTTCTCCTTTGTCAGAGATGTGGTGACTCATTTCAGATGATCCTCAAAAGAAATCTGGTATAAAAGAAGGAGCTCATGGGGTGACTTTGAAGCTCTCTTCCAACCCAATCTACCCCAAGGTTTGCTCTTGTGAGAAAAAACAGAAGAAGGGAGCACACTATGTACACCAACCTGAGCTGAAGTAACACCAGATACAAATTGAATGAATGATGATGAATGAGCTATAACTTCCCTTTTTACTGCTGAGTTCCTTGTTTTGCTACATAAAAGCAAAGTTTTTTTCTTTCAGATTTCCAAATCAAGAAATTAAACTCCCCAACCAAATTGGAAATCAACTTTCAGTTATGCTCCCTGTTTCTGACTCGGAAGGCAAACGCTAATCATAACAAAAACAAGAAAAGCAGATTCATAAAAGAGGAAGGCAGGTGCTGCTTATTTTGAGTCTTCTCGGGGTTTATTCAGACACACCTCCTAATCATACCTAACAATGGAAGCATTATGACTGAATGCAAATTAGTATTATCTGGAAGGTGGGAGGGATCCCTTTGAGTCAGTTTTGACTCCTGCTAACTAACTAGACAAGTGTGTGCAGTTTTCTTGGCAATGTTTTTGGATATGGTTTTGCTTTTGCCTTTTCTCTGTGGCCGAGAGAAAGTGAGCTAATTAGCTTCCATGTCTCAGCCAAGACTCGTTTTCAGATCGCCCTCACTCCTAGTCCAGTGTCATAACTACTAGGTTGAATTCCCTCTCTATAAGTGCATGAACAGTGATGAATTTATTTAGAAAGGCAATGTGATGCTTTGGACTCTGTTCTCAAAAGGTGCTTCAGAGCCCGCAAGAGTGGAAATGCACTCAGCACCTGTAGGCAATTCATTAAAGCAGTCATATCTGCTTCCCGGAGCTCTTGCCAGTTGATAGGCACTGCATTTGCGATCACTTATGTTTTAGAAGCAACTCTGAAATCAGATTCAAAGCGTCATACAACCCTATTATTAAAGCTGAATGACAATCCTTCCCTTTTTTAAAAAAAATCACATTTGAGAAGCATGTAATTGCCATTACAATATAAAAAAGTATTATCAAATTTTGCTCCTAATTTATTATTCCATGCAATGTCTTCACAAATACATCTGAAGACATTTTAAAATGAGGCAAAGTTCAGGTATTAGTTTAGAAAGTATTTGCTAATCCTTGTTATTTAGGGAAGAAATATAATCTATATCTTTCAATAAGGATCACAATGTACCATTTATAAATCACAGTAATACATCAGAATATGGCAATACATCTTACCGGACATTTTCAGGTTTCAGTTTGTCCAATACCATTTCTATTAAATCTGGCCTAAATTCTTCAAGTAAATATTCAGCAGCAAGAACTTCTTCAATGGGATAGTACTAAAATAAAATGTTACACTTTTAGTTTAGACTGAAAACGATTCTAAAAGTGCTCAATAACAGTTAAACAAGGAATTGGTGCCGTTTAGAAGATCTATTAACAGATCAGAAGGAAAAACACCCATTCTAATGTAGGCTTGACATTGAATAAAGAGAAGTAAATGCTGACCCCTAGAGGATATCTCTGCAATTGCGGGGTAACCCTTAAGAGCAGTGAGCTCAAGTCACTCTATTGATAACAACCATGAATTTACTCAGACTCCATCTGTCTTGATTCACGACTTGAAATCCCATTATATTGACTCTGGACCTGGACCGGTTGATGAACCTTCTGCAATGTTTGACCTTTCTTGTGCTGGCTGGTTTGGATTTGAACTTTCTTAAGGCAAACTTGCTGGACTTGGGGGGGGTCTGTTTACTTTGTACTCTGTGGTTAAGTTTGCACTCACATTTCCTTTGCCAATTGATTAGTGTTTGACAAACCTATCAGTGAAATTTGCAATCACATCTTGGTGTGCTTTTTATGCGCTAGGCCTGGGGCAGGACCAACCCACCCGCTCATCCATCCATCCGCCCATCTATCCATTCATCCAATCAGCATCCTGGAATTGAGGGACGAAATGGATGCTTTAAATCCTATGTAGGATTAAGTGGGGTTTTTTTGCCTCTTACAAATCAAATTAAATCAAACCTTTATTGTCAATGCACAATATATGTACAATGAAATTGAATGAGCTTCCCTTAATGCACCCCCCCCGAAAAACAAAATACATCTCAATAACTCAATAAATGAACCCAAATAAGTAATAACTAACACTCATTCCTATATACCTATATGTATGTAACATTATATTATATTACATCAGTATGAACGTGTTGCACGTTGCACTGGCCCTGCAAATTAGATTTAATAAATCTAATTGTGGTGTTATGTTGTGTTCAGAAGTCTGACAGCCCACAGATAAAAGCTGTTTTTCAGCCTATTTGTTCTGCTGGCTATGCTTCTATATCTCCTGCCCGATGGTAGGAGAGTAAAGAAGCACTGACCAGGGTGTGAATCATCCCTGAACTGCCCAAATTGGGGAAACATCAGTCTGAAATTATGGGGAGGATGTTCAGAAATTTAAAGGTATAAAATGAATTATTTAAACTGGGTTTGGAAGACTGCAAAAAAGACGCTGGGAAACATAGGCGCCCCCAGGGTAGCCCTACATGTATTCTAGACCAGGCGTGTCAAACTGGTGGCCCGCAGGCCAGATACATCACGTGCAGGTCACACCCACCCCGGGTCCGTGAAGGGGGAAAAATGCCGTGAAACATCACCTAACGGTAATGTGATGCCGTTGAGTTTGACACCCATGCTCTAGACGTTCAGACGTTAGACTCACATTGAGAGTACTAAAATAATGTAAAACCCAATACATAATGCAAAGAGTAATGAAAAAAAATGTAACCTTTTAACATCAAACTGTTTAAGCAACAAACATTTCGGTTCACAATACAACTATACTATTTATTAAGCAGGTAAACCGTATAAAATCAAATCATCTCTGATTGGAAAAAGAATGTTGTAAAATTGTTCAGCAACAAACAAGCCAGTGCTCTAAATCGTATTTCATGATCCTCCACATGAGGACATTGGTCACTGTACCATCAACAACTACCACTCTTTATAGTGGCAACCCTGATTTAGTCCTGCATTTAGCTGAACAAAGAGAGGGTTGAAGCCATATGAAGAACCACTGGCTCTTCCTTTCTCTCTCATCTCGACTTCAAAACATACACTCAGAAAACCCAAATACAACAATCCATACAGTCCATTAACCCTGCTTTTATAATTGGAGCCCTGAATCCTGCAGAGAGATGGATAAGCATTCAAAACAGCACAGAGCCCCATTGTCTCTCCTGCTGCCAATCTTAGCAACCTTAGTCTACTTGAGGTACAAAAGTAAAGCTTTGCTTACAATTGTTACTAATAACTTTTTCTCAAAAGTCCCAGAAATATTAAAGAAGCAATACAATATTAAATACAATATTCTAAGCTGTACAACAACATAAATAGCTCTATACTACAAATTGCAACTTACATGAAGCATCCCTGCAAGTTTTGATGTATAACCTCGGGGTCTTTCTTTATCTTTAAATCTGAATGCTACAGCATTTAGATCCTAGCAAAAGAAAGAAAATAAGATAAAATACTCATGCAGATATAGATTAACATTTTAAATCACAGAAAATTCTTGTTAAACATAGATTTGGTTTGATTTCTAATATTCAGAATTAATCACATGAATGAAACTGGAAGACTGTTTATGTTATTTTGAATGTTTCAGAGTGCATAAAAATATGATTCTTTGCATTATATGGATACAAAGAAAACATCTTACCAATAATAATGATAAATGAATACGAGGTTTGAAGTGCAAGCTATTTTAAAGCTGAAATAAATACATAAGAGACAATTCTCTGAATCACTTAAAAAAGAATTATTTTTCAGAATTAAAATGGGATCATTATCAGTTTGATAAACTATATTTATATAAATACAATTTTCTTGAAAAATATTATTTCACTATTATTTTTGTCTTCCCCAATTCTGGACACTTCTGAGAACTATGGCTATTGCTAAAAATTCTTGGATTTTAAGTCCAAACATCTGGAAGGCATTTAGGTTGGAGAAGGCTGTATTAGTTTATTAATGCAGAACAGTTACCTAAAATAGTTACATAAAATATTACTTGGAAAAATGTTTGAAAATAGTTATTTCTATATATGAGAGATTCACTCATTCAGACTATGTTTATAGGAATATTCAAACTAATGTATGGGTAACCACATTGAATTCAGTAGGGTTTACTATATATTTGCATAGATTATACTTACTGAGCTCAGTTTTTCACAAATTCTTTCTCTGGGTATATGAGCATTTTTTTTAGTTTGAGATAATAGTAATAGTTATTCGGTTATTTTTTTATATATTTTTTTTGCCCTGGCTGTGATCTCTGACAATCCTTATTGACAAAGATAGTTTTCTTAGGCAACATATTTGATGTTAACTTATTGTCTTGTCTTAACTGCGGCGACAATAAATGTAGTTATCAGATAGCGGCTTCAAGATTTCAGGCTATAAGTAAAAAGAGGGTATACATCTGTTCTACCAGGAAAACTTAAGGGGAAACTCTAATGCCCCATTGAAGAGCCTTATAAAGTAAGAGTTGAAATAGATCCTTATAAAGTAAGAGTTGCATGTTAGATTGATCAATTTCCCTGGAATTACCAGTCAAAAGTGCCGAGACAGGAAATTTGGCATTGCTGATAAATGTGGATGGGAAGAGGCTGCTGTTGGCTCTGAAAAGGTCCTTCCTCAAGCTAGAGCAGTGTTTCTCAACCTTGGCCACTTGAAGATGTCCGGACTTCAACTCCCAGAATTCCCCAGCCAGCGAATGCTGGCTGGGGAATTCTGGAGTTGAAGTCCAGACATCTTCAAGTGGCCAAGGTTGAGAAACACTGAGTTAGAGGAAGATACTTGCAGATTCCCATCTGGGCTGCTTTCAGGGCTCAAGAGAGGGAATTAAGTTTGGAATGACATCCATGTCATTCAACTTTTGTATTACTAGGTTTTTTTTAGCCGAGCATTGTCTGAATTTGTAAGGAATCTAGAGGCACTCCAGATGTTCTTAAAGTTTTGCTCTATTGCTTTTTTTACAGTAAAATATAATTGTTAATAAAGATTGGCTATAGTAACATTTAAGGAGGGGGGGATCCAATCTTTAACCAATATGCCACCAATACTCTCCATACTTCAGTTCAATTTTGGACACTGCAGACTCAAGCCTGATACTATCTTGGGGATATCCCATGGTGCCACAAAAATCTTTAAAAACTTAGTGTGTATTGTCTCTAAAGTGTCTTTTTCTTCATATATAGGCCCTCTGAGCTGTGTAGAATATTTGGGCTAATGTTTTAGCTTCAAAAAGCTTTAGTACTGGATGTGACATTTCAATTCACCTTCTTGGAATAAAAACCACTATTAATAGCCCTTGTAGATTTTGATGCTACTTCCTTAATATTCTATTCATGATAGGTTTTCTAAGATTCACTATCATGAAATACCAAACCAAAATGTTTAAGATACCTGTTTAAATGACAGTGTTTTATTATTCCCCTTAAGGCAATAGAAAATAATTTGGTAAAGATGTCTTACTTTACATTCTTGAAAAACCCATTCTTGAGGTCCTTCTGTGCGTAACTTTTGAATATATTGAAACATATGTAAAATAATATCTTCCACATGTACTGTACAAGAAAAAAATAATAAAGGATTTTTAGTTTTGTTGGTTAAAGCAAAAGTGACAACAAAGTTCTAGGATTACAACTCCCACATGATGTTGTTACTATACAGGCAACCCACAATTTACAACCACAAGCAGGACCAGAATTTCCATCATAAAACAATGCAGTTGGAAAAAATGCAATATCACATGATTCACTCAGTGAGGGCAATCCTGGCAGTTGTCATAACCTCAGATGCGCAAATCTGGAAGTGGAGAGAATCCACGTAAGGAGGACAGATGTGCAGCAGTGGGATTGGGGAGGCCTTGGGAGGCCTGGTGCAGTTTATGTATGAACTGGAGGGTGTGGTAGTGTAGCACAAGCTCAGGAAGGCCAGGGAAAGAAGGCGTATGCATTAATGCACAGCTTCAGATAGTTTTCAAACCAATTTGATTATCAGGAACTGTTTTTCTTTCTAACTGCCAGCAGTATTTAGAACAGGGGTGTCCAATCTTCTGGACTTCAACTCACAAAATTGAATGGCTGGCTGGGTCATTCTGGGAGTTGACGTTCAGAGGTCTTAAGGTTGCCAGGTTTGGATACTGCTGATTTAGAACATGAGGAATTTATCACATTTGTAAGATCAGGAAAAAGCACACAGAATTGTTAGCAGCATTCTGAAAAATAAGAAAATCCTTCTTGCTATGGTACAGGTAGTCCACAATTGAGAGCTAAATTTCCACTGAAAAGTTACAAATGATGATCACGTAAACCTGAGACAATGCAACTGTCATAAATAGACGTCAGTTGCCAAGCACTCAAATTTTGATTATGTGACCATGAGGATGCTACAGCAGATGTGAATGTGAAAACCAGTCACGTCACTTTTTTTCACTGCTGTCATTAACTTTGAACCGTTATTAAACGAATGGTTGTAAGTCAAGGACCTGTCTCTATGAAACTACATGTGATTAAAGCATTTTAAGTGTTTACATTTTACTACACCACAGAATATTTTTCACAGTGGGATATACAAAAGGTCTTAGAAGAGAAGTGACACTTAAATGATATTTATGCCCTAGCATAGCAAAATGGTTTAAGGGATCCACTTACACAGTCCTTCTTCAGTAAGATCAACATTAATGATAAAAAACATGAAGCCGCGAGCACCTTCTTTTTGTCCGCCAACCAGTGTGCTTACCCAGCCTATGATAAAAGCACATAATACATACAATATTGTTTGCATTTTTTAAAAAGTTATATTGTTTTTAAGCAAACGCTGATAATATATGTATTTTTGGTTAACAGCCTTCATACATTATGACAGAATATCATAAATGGAACTGGTAAAATGTGACGATTAGAGGTAATGAATTTCCAGAAATTTTGTAGCAATATAATGCTATAATGCTTCTATAATGACAGATCAGCCAAGTGCTACTGCCAGCAGAGACAAGAGGCGTATTCTTAAGATAGTCAAGAATGCAAGTAAGGACTGTGACGTTGATGCTATTATACATCTTGGCACAAATGATCTGACCCAAAAAGATGTACTTTCTGTGAAGAATAATTTCCAGAGCTTGGGGTATGAACTTAATGGTAGAGGTTGTAGGCTTATCTTTTCAGCGGTTTTACCAGTATATAAGGAACAAAAAGGGAAGGGCCAGCATGTAGCAGAGTTTAAACTGTGGCTAAAGGAGTGGTGTAAAAGGGAAGGCTTTGGTTTTATTGATGTCAGCAGCTGGTCCAATGAAAAACTGTACAAAAGAGATGGTTTGCACCCATCCAAGAAAGGGACTGAGTTACTTGGCATTAAATTCACAGATTTTCTGGATAAACATTTAAACTGAATAGCGGGGACAGAGAATTAATTAATACAGAACATTTCTGTCCCCTGCAATCTAAAATTCATAGGGTTATCAGTGCATGTAACATAGATGTTTGTGCGGGTAAGATAATCAGTCCTGCTGTCAAGCAAAACCAAGCATTTAATAGTGAGTGCCATACCATGTGCACGAATCATACAAGTGGCTAGAAAATAGGGGCAGTAAATAGACAGTAAACACAGGGTCAATCAAAATGGATTCAAATGTCTATACACCAATGTACAGAGTTTGAGGAATAAACAGGGTGAATTAGAAATTCAAGTAAATGAGGGCAAAGATGATATTGTTGCCATTACAGAAACTTGGTGGGATGAAACCCACAACTGGAACATACACTTAGAAGGATTTAAATTATTTAAAGAAAAGACCAAATAAAAGAGGAGGTAGAGTTTCACTATATATAAGAAATAACTACTTTTCACCATTGAATTTCATTTTATTAGATAGTGCCCAATGTTCAAGTTTGTCAAAATCTTTCTGTATCTTAAGCCTACCTCCTGGAGTGTTGGCTATTCCTGCCAGATTGGTGTCATCTGCAAATTTGATGAGTTCCCCATTTATTCCCTCATCCAAATCATTGATGAAGATGTTGAAGACTAGTGGGCCTAAAACAGAGCCTTGGGGTACTCCACTGCATACTTCCCTCCATGTAGATGCAGTTCCATTGAGGACTCCACGTTGAATGCGGTTGGTCAGCCAGTTATGAATCCATCTGGTGGTGATGCTGTCCAACCCACATTCTTCTACTTTATCTAGTAGTAGGTTATGGTCTACCTTTTAATACTTAATACTTTTAATATTTAATACTTCTAGATCTCTGCTAACATTTCTCGTATCATAGACCATACCCAAGGGCAAGAGTGATAAAATGTGTTTAGATCATGAAGGCAATCTGCAGAAGCATTTCCACAATAACAAGTTTCATGCAAGTAGCACATCAGCTAACTTTGAATTACCTTACCTTTAGCTTTCAGTTCCGATAAAAGACTTCCTGGACCTTCATGCCAATAAGGTGACCAAGATAGTGGCCAGGGTTTGATTTGTAGTACTTCTGAAGATCTGGTATTGGAAATGTGACATAAAGATTTCTAAAATCTTTAATAGGTACCACCTTGTAAAGTTGCTGTAAAATTTCAAAAAGAACAGAAAAGCCTTATTTATTTATTTTTTATCGTTGTAAGATAAAGGTTAAAGCTATTAACTTTAGGAATAGTTCCTTTAATTTGCAGAAGTAGATGGTTGCACAACAATCTCCACTTATGATTTTCAGAGAATATCCAGGACTATCTTGTTCCATCTACTGTTTAACAAAAGTGTAATCTTGAAAGTTTCAAACCCACTCGGAGATGTTCTTCCTGGAAGGGATGCTCAGGGAATTCCGGTATTGGAACATTTTTATTCTTCACTTCAGAAAATAACTTTACCACCAGTTTGGTTAGCTCATCTAAAGTTTCTGCAAAAAAGAATAAAAAGAAACAACTAATAATTAACAGAATTCTAATTCTATTAATTTCCAGAATTCTAGTCTATTGGGAATTCTGATAATGTAACTTTTATACATTAGAAAATATCTTATTGGAAAAATATACAAAATAAGATCATTTATAGATTTCTTAACCTCTCTTTTCAAACAGTCCTAGAAGGCTATATTTTAATCACACATCTAAAAACTTAAGAGTACATACTCCTTATTGCAGAAGTTCTATATCCAGAATTCAGTCAGTGTATTTTACAGTGCATAACATAAATAAAACCAGATCTCAAGAAAGAAGAGAGGGAGAGGGGGGAGGGAGGGGGGAGGGAGAGAGTGGGGAGAAAGGGAGGGGGAGGAAGAGAGGGATGTTAAGGGGAAAAAACCCACAAAATTTAAAATACTCATATAACATCAGGACCACCTATTAAGAGTACATATACAAGCTCTTAGTATGATACAGGGACAGAACAAACAATATACTGTATGACAAAATGGAGGCCAAACTTCCAAAC